ATTTGTATTTTGTCAGGGGCCATGTTTCTCAATGTAACTCAAAATATGCTTCATTTGTTATATATATATATATATAACATAATAAAAAATGTGAAATTTTTTGGGCTTGCTTCTGTAAATAACTTTGAGTAAATTGTTTGATACACTTCTTAAGTAATGGATTAATTGATTGATTAATATAATATAGATATGGGTTCTGTTGAATATCATCTGAAGGATGGTTGGAAGCGAGTGGAGGTAACAAGAAAAAATGGGGTGTATGCTGGTAAAGCTGACATCTATATTTTTTCACCCGATGGAAATAAATTTCGATCTAAGAAAGAATTAGTTAACTATCTTGCAGCAAATAATTTACCTTACAAGGCTGAGGATTTGTTTACAGCTACCGATTCAGGGACAGCAAACAACAGTAAGATATAATCGATGGTAATAAAAACAAATGATATGATGATATCATGAAACCTTTAGATATTTTTTTTAATAAAATTTAAATTTTTTTTTATTTACTCTCATAACTTACAATTTTATTTATATGAAAAGCATTAATTTTAAATAATAATTTTTGTGCTGTGCTGTGAATGGTTTGATTTTTACTAAATAGTTTGTGGAAATTTTCCTTTTTTTTTTTTTTTTTTTTTTTTTTTTTTTTTTAAATAAAAACCAAGAGCTTGTTTTTTAAAACGTGCATTGGCTTTTAAAAAATGTATCGAATAAAATATATCATGATGTTTAACTAATTACTCAGGTAAAAACACAAAAAAAAAAAAAAAAAAAAAAAAAAATTTAATAATGTTTTTAATTTTAAATAATTATTTTGTTTCAGGGACCATGGCTTTGCCATCAAACTAAAAAAGCATTGCCATGACCCCAACAGGTCCTGTTCTTGGAGGACGTAAGTTTTTCTTTTATTCATTTATTTGTATTTATCATTTAAAAGTTTTTTTCTTTTTTTTTCTTAATTAAAATTTGAGCATGAATCTATTATCTACACAGTAGTAGAATTGATCAATTTGTTTACTTTACTTATAATATGATTTATCATGGTGATCTCGATGAATTGAAATCTTTTCATTCATCCTACAGACAATTTAGAGTCATAAAGTTAATGAGTACTCGTTTTAAAAGTTTTTATATATATATATTAAATTATGAATTTTTATATATAATATTTCTTATTTCTATATCCAAAACAAACTTGGATTACTAAAAAAAAATTATTTTGTTTTATTTTACCAGGCAATGACCTTGCATGCACTTTAATTTTGTTTTTGAGAAAACAAAATAGCAAAATTCGTTATGAATGAAAGTAATGATAGTAAATATTTTTGAAGGACGTGAATGAAATAGTATTTTATATTAATATTTACTATAAGGAAAAAAATTATGTAATTAAAAGTATTTTAAACAACAATATTTGATATCGACTAGTTTGTGTTTGTTGTACAAAAAATTTGAAAAGGAACAACCATGATTTAAAATTAAATTTCTACGAACTGATTTGAGGATTTTTTTTTTTTTTTTTTGCATTTTTTTTTTTTTTTTGGCACAAAAAAAGAAAATATTTTTGACGAAATCCGCTTGCTGAGGGAACAATAAAAAAAAATTTTTTTTTGTTTTTTTTTTTTTATTAAATGTTGTATTTATTTGATGAAAATTTGTTTTTTTTTTGTGTATTTTTAAAAATATTTTATTTATTTTTTGCTTTTTATTTTATTTTGTATTTTTGATGTAGCTGCTTGTTTGTTTGTATTATTTAGATCTGATGCAAGCTGGACATCCTGTTACCTTCAATATTTTAAAAGGTACGTCGCCATATTTTTTTTTTTTCTTTTTTTTTTTTACTACTTACTTTTCGTGCAAATTTTCTCATATGAAAAATTTGTTTAAAAAAAAAAAAAAGAAAAAAGAAAATCATTTGAGCGGTTGTTATAAATTTAAATAAATATATATATATATATTCTTAGAACGGCTTAGAGCTACCGGTACCGGAAGCGGAAAGGATAGTTCGACGGGATCGAATCCTTTCATTCAAACCCCCCATGGGAATCCTTCGTTTGTCCCTCAAAAAGTTGGAAAGGCGACAGCGGATGCTCGTACTCCGAAGCCTCCGAAAGCTCCCGAAAAACCTTTGATGCCCTACATGAGGTATTCCCGTAAGGTTTGGGATGCCGTCAAAGCACAAAATCCGGATCTCAATTGTGGGAAATTGGTAAAATAATCGGTCAGCAATGGAGAGATTTACCGGAGGATATGAAAACGGAATACGTCGAAGAATACGACTTGGAAAAAGTATAGCGATTATTATTATTATTATTATTATTATTTGTAAACAAAACTTTGGGATTGGCGTGCTTTAAATAATTTAATTTTTTAAATTTCAGTTAGAGTACGAGAAAGCTTTAAAAAATTACCACAATTCTCCGGCTTATTTAAATTACATAGCTGCGAAGAATAAAGCGAGTCAATCCAGTGATGAAAATAGGGAAACGCACGATAGGCCGAGCAATAAAAATGCGGATCGTAGGATCGACATTCAACCCGCTGAAGACGATGATGGTCGGTCAAAATTTTGTATGCTTTTATTATTTTTTTTTTTTTCCCCCCTCCCCCCCCAAAAATTTCCGAGGAAAATTTTTTTAACTTTTTGTTTTTTAAATTTTTTTTTTTTTTTTTTCTCTCCCCTTTCTCTCACCCTTCTCTCGCACACAAGATCAAGATGATGGATTCTCCGTGAAACACGTTGCTTATGCGAGATACCTTCGTAATCATCGTCTCATAAACGAAATATTCAGCGATGCCGTCGTACCCGACGTGCGATCCGTGGTCACGACGACGAGGATACAAGTTTTAAAAAAACAAGTTCAGTCTTTGACGATGCATCAGAAAAAATTAGAAGCCGAACTACAGCAAATCGAAGAAAAATTCGAAGCCAAAAAGAGGAAATTCATTGAGAGTAGCGAACATTTTCAAGAAGAGCTTAAAAAGGTAAAGCGGAAGAAGTCAAGAAGGCACTGCTTGATTGCGATAGTTGAATCGATCGAGATCGAGATTTATTTTTTGAAATTTCTTTTACGTTCCAGCACTGTCACAGAGCGGTCGACGAAGAAATGTTTGAAAAAATGGTCGAAAGACAATATGAATTGTTGAGACGGGAAAGATTGGGTAAAGCTGCTGAGCCCAACAACGCTCCAGAAATTAGTCCGACTCCAGTGGCGACTCCGACTTCTGCTCCCGAAGATAATGCCCAAGCTCAAAGCGGAGAGGTAAGTTCTCGCATTTAAAACATGTTAAATTTTCAATTGAGAGAGAAAAAAAGAAATAATAATAATGATAATTTTTTAATTACTCTTCAAAAGAATGAAATTTTTTTTTCTCGAATAATAATAATAATAAAACTCCGTTCAAGAGTGATAAAGTTTGATGTATTACACGGTCACGTACTAATAACGATAATTTTAGTAAATATAGTGTCATTATTGTTTCGTTGCACTGCAGCCAGTAGAACTGCACTTCATTCAGGTATAAAAAAATAAAAAATAAAATAAATTTTTTTTATTATTATTATTTTTATCGTCCATACCTGCTTAATGATTTTGTTTTTTATTTGTAATTTTCATTTATTTATTTATTTATTTATATAAACCTGGAACCTAAAAAATTTGATGCAAAAAAAATTGTTTTTTTTTTAACAAGTTTCATTTAGGTTTCAAGGTGCAAAAAATAATAATTACTATTATTATTATGTTTTCGAATCCTTTGTTGAATTTATTGAGTTATTTTGGTTTTTTAATTTTTTATATTTAAGTTTGCTTATTCGAATAACTGTTGATATTATCAATGTTGTACTTTTTATTTATCGTTGTTCGCCGACGTTTTATTCGCGCAGTAAAATTTTGTAAAAAAATTTACAGACTATCGAAGAACAGAAACAGCAACAACAGCAAACGCAACCACAGCCGCCGCCGCCGCCGTCGTCGCAGTCTCAACCTCAAGCCCAACCGCATTCTCAATCCCAACCTCAGTCTCATCCTCACCCGCAGCCTCATCCTCAGCCCCATCCTCAACCTCATTCTCAGCCTCATCCACAGTCCCATCCTCAACCTCATTCTCAGCCTCATCCACAGTCCCATCCTCAACCTCATTCTCAGCCTCATCCACAGTCCCATCCTCAACCTCATCCACAGTCCCATCCACAGTCCCATCCTCAGCCTCATCCGCAGTCCCATCCTCAGCCTCATCCGCAGTCCCATCCTCAGCCTCATCCGCAGTCCCATTCTCAGTCGCATCCTCAGCCTCATCCACAGTCCCATTCTCAGCCCCATCCTCCACCTCATTCTCAACCTCATCCTCAGTCTCATTCTCAACCTCATCCTCAATCTCATTCTCAGCCCCATCCTCAACCTCACCCTCAATCTCATTCTCAGCCCCATCCTCAACCTCATCCTCAGTCTCATTCTCAACCACATCCTCATCCTCAGTCTCATTCTCAACCACATCCGCAGCCCCATTCTCAGGCACATTCTCAGCCCCATTCGCAGTCACATTCTCAGCCACATTCGCAGCCTCATACTCAGCCTCAACCTCAGCCTTCTCAACAACAGCAGCAACAACAACAACGATCAACACCACCACCGAATGCTTCGACTCCAGCATCTGGTGATTCTGAAGAAAAACCTGCTTCGACTCAAAATCCTCCTCCTCCTCCACCACCTCCTTCTGTTCTATCGCAATCTGGTCCGCCAAGTGCTATTAATTTTGGAGGAGCCCCGCAATATTCATCGGGACAGCCTGGACACTTTATTTCTCAGCCAAATCCTCCGCAACATCCATTACCATCTCAAAATGTACCCCTGCCTCCAAGGCCTCCATTTCAGGTATTTTATTTCTTTTTTTTTTTTTTTTTTTAAATATTTCTTGGCTGATTAATTTTTTTATTTCTATTCTAGTATCCCCCGATGGCAGCTCAACAGCATCAACCGCCTCCGTCTTCACAATCTCCTCTGCAGCAACCACCACCGATGCCTCCGGTATCTCAACCGCAACCTTCTGCACAAGGGTATTATCCCTCTTACGGTCCGGAAGCTCAACCTCCGCCTCATGGACCTTACGGATATCCGCAATATCCACCATATCCCCGACCGCAACTTTATCCCCCATCGGAACATCCCGTGAGTCGATATTCTTAAAATTTTGTTGTTACGTTTTAACAATGTTTTTTACATTCACCTTTTTTTTTTTTTTCAGCCTGCAGTGCCAAATGCAACTCCTGCGACCGCCAACGAGGAACATTCTATGATGACTCACGGTCATCCGCCTCCTAATTCGGCCGTCGTCGTTCCTTCGGGACCTTTCGCACAACCTCCTCCACCTCCGATTTCTTCCGGACAGCATCAGGCTCAGAGTGCTCCGACGCCGGTACAACACTCTCAACCGCCGACGCCGACGCCGCCGCCGACTTCATCTTCTCAGTCTCAGCCTTTGCCGATGCCATCATCTCAACCGCCGCCGATGCAACAACCTCCTCCTCCTCCGCAGCATCAACATCAACAATCGCAACAACAATCCGTCACTCAAACTTCGAACGAGAAAGGATCGGATAAATCGAGTGAATGATTGTCAAGGGTTCGTGCATCAAAGTGATGAAGATAAAAAAGAAAATGGTGCCGACAGCGGGGGACGGTATCGGCCTGAACGTGTCGGTGGTACATTTAAATAATAAACTAATTAATTAAGTGCATTTTCGTATACATAAATAAATGATTTAGTTTTAACGGGAAAAAAAAAACTTTTTATTTTTATTTATATATACATAATAAATACATAAATAAATAAATAATATTAATAATTAATCACAGACGATTTTTTTTTATGTGCGTGGGAGTCGGGAAAAAGATTTTTAGTGAAACGTGAAAAACGTTTTTGTTTTTTTTTTTTTTTTTTATTTTGTGTTATATTTTAAAATATATTTCGAACGGTTTTTAATTAAATGACGAACTTGTTAAACGAACGCCGACGAGAAAATAAATAAATAAATTTAAATTTTGTAATTTATTAATGGGAAATTATCTTAAATATAAATAAATAAATAAATATATTTTATTTTATTTTGAATTATTATTATCATTTTTTTCCTCCTTATCACGAATAACAAAAGGGAGGGGAAGAAGGGGAAGAGATTAAAATAAATAATTAATAAAATAATATATTGATTAAATATATATAATAATAATAATTATTATTATTATTTGTGATAATCTTTTGCCTGTTGTTCGGTTTCATCGGACGAATCAGGTTTTCCCAATCTCGATACGTAATCGTTTTGATTCGTTAAATCTGTAAAATAATAATAATAATGATGAAACGGGGTGTAGGGTGTGAAAAATAAAAAAAATTTTTTTTTAATAACCTTTTATCTTAACGAGAGCCCAATCATCATTATTATCATCATCGAAATAATAATTTCTTTTTTGTAACCTTCCCAAACGTGGTCCGAACCACATGGCACCACCATTTTCCATCGCATCTCTTTTTTGTTGACTAATGACGTCATTATTTCTACCGACTCTAGGAAATGGTATAAGACCCTGTCGTTTCATTTCTCTCGGTCCTTGATAAATAATAAACCCGAGTTTAAATTATCATTATTATCACTATTATTATTATTATTATTATTGATTTCAAACTTACCCAAATATCTGGAATTCCAAGATGAATCCATTCTTCCGACTCTTGGAAATGGGAAAAGACCAGAAACGTCTCTTTTTGTTTTGTTGTTTTTTTCATCTTCGTATAAAACATTTACAATAAAAATGGAAAAATGGAGAGAAAAAAACTGGAGAAAAATAATAATAATAATAATAATGATAATACTCACCTGCTGAATAAACAGCGACAACACAAAGACAGCAGATAAAGGCAACACTCGGGTTCATCTTCATGAGACAAATAAACACGTTCGGATTTCGTGCTTCGGATTTTATATTCATTTACACGGCTTAACGTTTGTGTTGAACGTGTTGCCAAAGGGATTCAAATCTACAAAACTGGAACAGTTCGGGACTGGAATATTATTATTATTATAAAATTTTTCATTCTCTTCTCTTTCATTCTCTCTTTTACCCGTTCGGTTTTTTCCTTTTTAAATTTAAAATAATTTTACTCGCCATACTAATTTTTTTTCCAGAAAAATTTTTTCAAGGTTCACCCACACGTTCGAATCTACCATTTATTATTATTATTAGTTTTTCGGTATCATTAAATTTAATAAATAATTTTTTTTCCCCCTGTTTATCGCCCCTCTCACCCTTTCTCCCCTCTTTTCCCCCTTTTACCTCCTCTTAACGCTTTCATTCATTCTTTAAAAAAAAAAGAAAAAGAAAAAAAAAGTACCAATCCGACACTGAAAAAATAATAATATTGGAAAATAAATTTTAATTTAGTCCAGTTTCATGATTTAAATCTTTGAATCTTCACATCATCATCATCATCATCATCATCATCACCTCCATTTTTTTTTTTTTTTTTTTTTGTTTTCCGACAGGAGAGTCAGCTTAGCGTTATTAAAAAATAATAATAATAATAATAATAATAATAATAAATTTTATTTTTATTTCGTTTTGTGTTTTTCCTAGATTTCTTTCATTCGTTTTCCCATCAGGTGAAAAATGAAATAAAAAAAAAAAAAGGAATAATTTTCATTCCCGTATTGAATTCAAGAGGGTGTGGGGTGAGGGTTGAAGGGGAGACGAGTTCAAAATAGGGGAAAAAATGAGGAGAGGGAGAAGGGGAAAATTAAATAATTAATTTTTTAAAATAATTTAAAAAAAAAAAATTTTCTTCAAGATTTTATCTTTTTTTTTTTTTAATAAAAAATCGAACGATTCGATGAATGATTGATTGAATGAATGAATAAATGATTTTTTAATAAAGCAGTAGAAAATTTATTATAAACATAAAAATCAGCAGGGATACAAATAAAAAACAGAGAGAAAGAAAAGAAAATTTTTAATTAAATTTCGTCCTTTTGTTTCATTTTTTTTTTTTCCAAAGTTTTTTTTAAAAAAAAGCAGAAGACGTAAATGAAAATAAATTAAAATAATATTTATTATTATTATTATTATTATTATTATTATTATTATTATTATACACACACACATATACATATATATACAACTAATGCAATTTTTATTATTTTTATTAGTATTTTATTTTTTATATAAAACGAAAAGAATATATAAAAATTTTTTCAATTACATACAAAATAAAATAAAATAAAGTAAGAAAAATGGGAGACGAAAATGAAAGTAGAAGGGGAGTAACAGAATCGGGAGCCGAATGTATTTGTCCACCACCAGCGACTAAAAGAAAAAGACAAGATGACACATGCGAAATTAAATTGGAAACGTGTCCGTACGATCCGAGATTTCCAAATGCTAATAACACTCCACGATGTTACACAAGGTGATGATAAAATTTTCTTATCAGTTATAATCCAACCAAACCACCCCCTCCCCCCCGGTGTGTTATTAATTCGTGCTCGTTTTTTGATTAGTTTCATAGATTATCAAAGATGTGCGAGACTTTTGGGTGATTATCCGGGATGTCTTTATTTTTTTAAATGTTACAAAGCATTGTGTCCGATAGCGTGGCAAGAAAAATGGTTCGAACAAATGGAAAATGGTACATTTCCAAAAAAAATATATCCACCAAGACCTATAATACGTCCAGGTCCGGCAGATGTTTGCGGTCCATCCTTAAACCTCGAAGAACCACCACCTACGTCAACACCCCCCTGTTAATTTTTGTTTTTTTTTTTGAACCCCCCCCCCCCACAATTTTTTTAACGATTTTTTTTTGTTATTTTTATTTACGAATAAAATTCTTTTTTTTTTTTTTTGGAAAACTTTGTCTCTCTTTCTCTCTTTCGTTTAAATCGTTAAACACGTTTGCGTCACCGTTATAAATTCCCCCCACGCCCCCGCTCTTTTTTTTTTTGTTAACCCTGGAGAAATGCATTTTGCACTAACCCCCCCACCCGGTAGCAGAGATAGTGTGGGACTCAACCGAGGCCACTAACCAACTAAAACTCCTGGATGTGCTTCACTGCGTTTTTTCCCCGGGGAAGAGAGGCGGTCGCACGAGTATCGTATTTCAGCCTCAACCCCCTGCTCAAAGCCGGAATCATCAGACCCGCATTCGCGATGGTGGGAGCGAATCTCCCACCGACGTAGCCGTCGCAGAGATCTGCTCCACCCAATTGTGATACCCCCATCAAAAGAAACTGAAACGTTTCTGAATATCTCTTTTGGTCCGGCTTCACTTTTTAAAATATTTGCAACCCTATTAAATATGATGATTATGATGATGATGAAGTACAAAAAAAAATCCCTCGGATAACCGTTTCCGCAAAGCGCGAAATCGCGGACCACTCCCTGGGACCGCAAAGGAGACCAGTTCCCCGATGATCAGATCCCCCAATAATCTGAACGAGGCTTCGCCTGTCATCGGCCCACCTCGGGCACTTCGAAAGCGTGTGGTCGTCTTCAAGCACACCGCCGAACCAGGGTGAGCCGAAAGGACAACGCTCCATGCTTACGCCCCAACTATTCAGGTAACAGATTCTCCCCCCCCCCGTAAAGTTTCCGGCCGTCCTCGAGCCGCATCCGCCAAGTCTCGAGGACTTTTTCCCGTACAACTTTACGAAGCGCGTCCCTCCTCGATCTTCCCCGCGCGCGATAGAGATCTGCCTTTCTAACGCAAGAAGATCGAGAGGAGGGGTCCCCGACAGAACGCAAGCAGCATATGCGGCTACGTCCCTGCAGGCCATTACCATCCTATTCAGAGACGCCCGTTGGAGCTGAACTGCTCTCCGCCTGAGGAGTATAGACCCGGAAATGGCTTCGGCCCACACCAGAGCCTCGTTCAGGGCTATGGAGTGGACCACCGTTCCATTGAGCTCCTAGTAGCTACCTCCGGGCCCCGGAGGTTGGGCATTAATTTTTCCAAGAACACGATGGTCGCGTGGACATCGTAGGCAATGTTCCACAGCAGTGGTCCAAGGATCGACCCCTGCTGCGGAAAACGTCCACCCTTCCCATAGTTCCATCTGGTTTCTCAAACACGATTTTCCTGTCGGATTGAAAGGATCCTATTATTGCCCGCAAGTAAATTGGCACGGCCTTAGCCTCAAGGCCCATTTTAAATCGCCCCTCACGGCATCAAATTAAACGCATTCTTGAAGTCAGTCAATATCACAATGGCGACGCCTCCCTTTTTTACCACTCCCTGCACCAAATCTCGAACCCGAATGAGCGCGTTCGTTGTAGGACGCCCCGCCCGGAATCCAAATCGGTACGAGATAAGATCATATATCTTATTTCCGTTTTCAAGGTGGGCGATAATCCGCGACGCGACAATGCGCTCAAACAACTTGCCCTAAACATCAAGAAGACAGATTGGTCGATACGCACTAGGTGACGACGGATCGCGGCCCGGCTTTGGAAGCAACACAAGCTTCGCTTCTTTTCACAACCATACGGTGTAAAGTATCGAAATGCGCGGACCCATAACTTCGGGCAGACTTGCCAAGAATCACGTAATGCACCCCGTTCGGGCTCGGAGCCGTCCGTTTCTTCACAGCCGCATCCAAGAGGATCCGGATTTCACCTTGGTTTCGTTCCGCCGTCACCTTGGAGATGAGAACGCATCCCCCAGGACGTTAGACAGGTGTCTTTCGGGAGTGTCCTCCAGTCTTTCTCACGGGGGAAAAGGGAAGAGAAGGTCGCGCGTTTTCTGAGAATGCGATCGGGATGGGGATTTAGACTTACCATCGTCGCCAGTAAAGGATAAAAGTTAAAATTTAAGTGTTAATTGATCGCATCCTCTCTATAACGGTAAAAACAGGATTAATAAGGAAAAGACAGACGAAGGATCGACCGGAGTCGTCGATCCCCTCAGAAATGTTAGAAAAGAATTAAACAAAAAGGGTACTTACCGACGACGAATTCGCGTTCGCTGCCGTAGTACCGGGCCGTTCGAAGAATCCTCGTCGTCGTCTCCTCTTCGAATCTTCTTCTTTTGGCGCCTCTATGAGTGAGACGGTCGCGACCTACCATATCGCTCTCGCCTCGGTTGCGAGAAGCGCGAGTTTCCAGACGGGGCAACGTCGAACGGCTCCCCGTCCGAGCCGCCCACTATCCTTCCACTCCGCAGTCACGCTCGTTCGCTGGTGGGAGACCGAAAACACGCGCCTGAAAATAGATGATTAATCCCCCGCCCCCCGGCGATCCCCAAACGTAGCACAGATCTGCAAGCATCCGCTGTGCTGTGCCACCTAGAAGCTGGATTACAGGAGCCAGCCGCGACTCCTGGCCATCTAGAAGAACACCCCACGCACCGAAGCCGGGACGGGTCTCTCCCCGAGAGAATCGAGAAAGAGTCCCGGAGCCCGACTCGGACTACCGGGACGAATCCTTTCTCTCTTGTGCTTCGGGAGACGGTCGCGACCGGCCACATCGCTCGCACGATCCTCGTCGCAGTCCGTCAGCGTCTCATCCCTGCCTTCTTCATAATGAATCTGCCTCCTTATTCTTCTTAAGTTTAAAGAGTCCGTCGCCGCATCATCCGACGTCGACGTCCGCCGGAGTCGTCATCGCCGTCTTTCCGAGCTTCTATTACGCTGTAGCGAGTGGTTCGTTCGCGATGCGGTCCCTCGCTTGCGAATCATTCGCGAGGATTGAAAGCTTCCACAGACGAGTCGATCCGTGGAGGGTTCGATCTTCCCTCAAAAGTCCCTTCCAACAATTGTTTTTACGCCCCCGCCCCCGCCCCCCAACAACCTTATTAATTAGGTTATTAATGATGGAGAGATTGAATGAAAGAATAAATAAATAAAATAGAAATTAGTTTTAAAAAAAAAAAAAAAATTTATTGCACATTTTACAAAGCACAAGAAACATAATAAACAAACAGAATTTTTGCATCGAGAAAATTTTTTTTTTTTTTGGGCGGGTTTTCTCTCTTATCAATTCAACGAATTTTTTTTTTTTAAACAACATTATCAAATTTATTTATTTATATAAATTATTATTAATATTATTATGTATTTAATATTTATATATATATATATAAATCTATTAAATGCGATGATGCAAAAGGGCGGAATAAAGAAATTATTTATTAATTATTAATTATTATTTAATCGAGTATATAATATTTAATCCTTTCTTTATTTATTTATTTATAATTAATTAATTAATTTTAAAAAATTATTATTAATAATAATAATAAAAGGTCAATGAACGATAAAATAATGTCACGTGAAAAATAATTTTAATAAAATTTAAAATAAAATAAAATAAAAAAAATTTGAATTTTTTTTAAAAACCTGTTTCCTATATAATAATCTTATCAAATGGCACGTTTTTTTTTTTTTTTTTTTTTTTTTTTTTAATGATAAGTCAAATAAAAAAAAAATAATAATAATGATGATTTTATGTATATATTTTGTTTGTACGCGTTTGTTTGTTTGTTTGTTATCATGCGTACAGACACAAAAGTCAAAATAAAAATAAAAATAATAAAAAATCAACAACTTGCGATTTTTTTTTTTAGTAAAAAAAAATAAAATAAACCCCTTTCCCCTTCCTTAACCCTCCCCTACCCTTTCTCCTCCTACCCAAAAAGAAAAGAAAAAAATTTCGGGGTGGAGGAGGGAGGTAGAACGTTTTCGCGTGCGTGTGGGAGGTGATGATAATTAAGTAAACTATATGAGGTTAGCCTAAATAAATTTTTTTTGCATCCCCAAATCATCCCTCTCTCTCTTCCTCCCCCTATTTTTTTATAAATAATAATAATAATAACAATGCATGTAATTTGGCATTTGCGTTTTAAAAGCGCCCCCTTCATCTCCTCCCTCCCCTCCCTTTCAGCAATAATTTCAAAAAAAAAAGTGAAAAAAAATCGGCGCTTCTCTTTCCCTTCCCTTCCTCCCCCTGTATGCCTATACGTTAATTATAAATAAGCGATGATGATTTTAATGATAAGAAATAAATCGAAAGTGATAACATTTTGTCTTCTGCTTCTTTTTTTTATAAATACAAAAATTATTTAATCAATATATTATATATATATATTTATAAATCCTACTACTTTTTTGATAACTTCTTTACTGGTTGAAAAAAAATTTTTTTTTAACTTTAAGTACATTTTACAGGAATGTTTCGTTTGTTTGTTTGTTTGTCTGATTGTTTGTTATGTAAAAAAAAATCATAAATCGATTGTCAGATAAAAATAAAAAAAAATAAATAAATATAACCGTCTTTGACGAAAAAAAAAAACAAAAGAAAAAGAAAAAAAAAAAATTAAATAAAGAAATTAACAACAACGATGATTGATTGATTGATTGATTGACTGATTTATTAATTAATATCTTTGCTGGAATTCGTGATGCCATCTGTTGAAGTCGATGTGCAAAACGACAATCGTACCGGTTGATAATCCGGCTAGTAAAAACCTGAATAAAAAAAAATTATTATTATTATATTCGGGGAAAACAAAATGATAATAATAATAATAATAATAATAATAATGAAACAAACTTTTGATCGTGTGACAATGCCAACGATCTCACTGGAGCATCGCAAGCTGGAAACGCATATAATAAAGCTAATGAAAACGTTCTCCAAACTTCTACGATTCCTTTATCTCCTCCAGTCATTAAATATTCTCCATCTCGACTCAGCAGAAGACACTGGAAAAAATGTTTTGTTGTTGTTGTTATTTTCTTTCGTATCGAAATTTTTTTTACCAAACCTTTTTTTTTTTAAGTACCTGCAAGTTGTCGTTGTGAGATTCGTGTCGGAGTCTTTTACCGTTGATGGTAAATGCGACAACTTGACCTTTCTCGTAATTGACGACAATGACGCCCTCACGAGACATTGCAATGTTTTCCGGTGAATTAAATCCGGAGGGTGGTTCCAAAGAGCGAAGCAAATCACCGAAAGTCGTGTGAACCAACACGGGACCATCTGAAAATACGAAAAATTTTACGTGTCGAAGAAAAAAAAACCCGGGATTTTTGATGTTCTTCGGATCGGATACTTACTCACTGATCCGGATACCACCAATCCCAATTCTGCAGAAATCACAACGACGGAGACCGGTTGGTCGTGACCCGTTAGGGTTGCACGAGGGGTTGGCAATTCACCTTCTCCTACGATCGTTTGAGTTCTTGCATTCCAGTGCCATAGTAAGACGGTGCAATCGGCTGAACCGGATGCTATGTAACAGTCGGATGTGATGTTACATTCCGACCGGGAAAGACAAGTAACCACTCCATAATGACCAAAAACTATTTGAACTATTTTAGCTAGAGGAAACACACGAGAAAGGAAAAACAATGTTTGAAATTTTAAAGGAAAAACACACACTTCCGGAAAAATTTAAGCATGCATCATCCATCTTACCCGTTTCGGTGGAAAACACTCGAAAACTATTATCCCAAAAACCGCAAGCGACTAAAAATCTACTGTCGACGGTCGTCACGAAACAATTACTACGAACTTTTATCTTCTGACTAAAATTATCACCTAAATGTCGACGTTGCGTCGAAGTAGAAGTATTTCCGGTTTGAGCTGGAAATAAAAAAAAAAAAAAAATGAGTAAAGACTCAAAGGTGGTCGATACTTATAGATGTGTATCCTTACATAAAATGGGATCCATTGAAAGTGGTAAATTAGATCCGGAATGTTGACTCGAATCCGCATAAGTCGGACTTTGTACGGATCCCGAATAATTACTGTTCCATCTATTGACGGCAAATTGTTGTCCGGCCGTTACCGTGACGACAGCCGGAAGCGGAAGTTGCGGATATGTGTTCGCCGATATATGCACGATCGGAGAATTCGATGGGAATTTCATTATCATGCATATATCATCGGGAACGGCGGAAAACATCATCGGACTCTGGAAAAGACATAAAAATTCAAATCCTCCTCGTCCTACCAACACAAAAAAATCCCCGAAAGAGTAAAAAAAGAATATTACGAGATGCATGGCAGAACTCCTTGGCGGATGTGGTTCCATGAGAAGTTGCGATGGGGTTTGTCCGAAACTACGAATTTGATTTTCCACAGCTTCTTTCATAACGGGATCCGTTATTGAATCGAGTTCGACGTTACCCTCGTAAGTTAAATAGTAAAAAACATTTGTGGCACGTATTGCTTCTGGACCTGTTCGACAATATGAGAGAGAGAGAGAGAGAGTGAGAAAGAAGAAGATTTATTTAATGAATTATGGGGAGGTTAATTTCTTTTAAGTTAAATGCTCCATTTAGTCTGTTGACAGAATTGACTTACGGTCCATTAAAACTTAAAAGTTAATTTTGAAAACCATTTTAATATCGAGAGAGAGAGAGAGAGAAAAAGTGTGTGACTGTGTGTGTAAATCTTCTACCACCACGTCTCTCTTTCTCTCTCTTACATTTGACGATGTATGAGAATGTATGACGTTTGTCGTTTGTCGTTGACACAAACCGATGAATTAATTTTAAATGTTTATAACAATAAAAATTTTATTTTATTAATTTTTTTTTTTAAATTTTAAAAACGGAAACGATAAATTAAAAATTTTTTTTTTTTCTTCTTTCTGATGAGAAAGAAAAGGTGATGGTGGTGGTGCGTGTGTGCGCGTTGCTGTCGCTCGAAGGCGCCACACTTTTTTTTAAAAACAATTATCAGTTATTTCCGAAACACCCGGCACGTTCGTCATTTTTTTTTAAATGTCAAATGACGTGTCAGAAACGGAAAAGAAAAATTTTAACTAAAATTAAGGATTCATTTCCACCTTTTCCTGTTCGGGATAATTTTTTACACGTGTCGACTTCAGGTTGCAAACTTTGACACACTCTCCCATCTCTCTCTTTCTCTCTCTTTTCGTTTTGAATTTAATTTCTTTCTTACCCTTTTGGCGGTAGCCGAATATTAAATCGATCCATTGGTGTAATTGGCACGATACGAATTCGGATTCAAGAGCCATCCGATTGATTCTAACGAATTCTTCCGGGCTCGAAGCCCAAGGAGGAAGTTCGACGTCACCAACGGGAGATCCATCTTCTTGATGACCCAAACGATATCGATTATTGTTGACAAACATTTCAGGAAGGAAAAAAAATTCGGGTATGAGTTCTTTGACGTCGCTTGTATCTCTCTGACAATTTTTCCACGTTAATGATATCGACGAAAACAACCTGTTCGTATCGGAAAAAAAATGTTATTTCTACTCCTGCTTTCAATACCTGTGTATATTTCTTTTTTTTTTTTGTAAGTACCTGTTCGGATGATCAAATTTACCACCCTGAAGTGCGAGAAACATCGTCGTCAATGGTTCGATACGTATGAGCCAATTAAGTACAAATGCTGCTGTGGAATAATGAGTACCGTAATGAAACGGTGGAATGCTTTCGTGTTCCCACGTGTTATACCTACAACGATAAAAAAGGCGGTGATGTGAAACGGAAATGACGTCATTAAACAGATAATAATAAAAAGGAGGGGAGGGGAAGTGGATCCCCTAAAACTCTCTTTACCTTTCTTCGAAATAAGCTCGGCGGCTGGGATTTAAAGCACCGACAGGCTTTGATAAATCCCTATAGTTGGACGGCAAACTGAGATCCAAATCGGAAGAATCATAATTCGTGAGAACCCATGGGAAAACCGGATATTGATTCAAGTCATTGTACGTTCTTCCTAAAGAGAGAGACAGAGAAAGAGAAAGAAAATAAAAAAAAATAAAAGTGGAAGCTTTTCGTCAGAATTTATTGATTGTAGTCGTTTTGTTTTGTTTCTTTTTTTTTACCATCGTTTTCAACATACCTGTTTGAGCGGAGTGTGTATGCGCGGTGGTGGTGGTGGTGGAGGGGAAGGAGGAGTGGAAAAGAATAAAATAAAAAAAACCGAATAACATTTATTACGTAAAATTTAGATAATAAACCCACCTGCGATCGTGTTTAAAAACATTAAATATTCAAAATTGGAGATTTCTCTTCTCTGCCACCTTTGAGTCATGTTTGAATTTCTCATTAATTGTCTCGGCGACATCATTGACGCCCTCCTGAACGAAACAAACAACAAACAAAAAAAACGTTAATGATGATAATAATAACAATAAATTTTTATTATTATGCGATGCTAATAATAAAATTTATAAATAAAAAAATAAAAAAATTAAAAGGAATTTATAACGTAAAATATTATTATTATTTTCGTATAAACAAACAAAAATAATAATAATAATAAATTAATGAGGAACAACCATCAACAACCGACCAACCGGGTGGGTCGGTCGGTCGTCTAATAATTTCATTAACGGATTCCATAGAGTATAAAATAAATTTTTTTTTTTTTTCATTTAATTCTAAAACTTTCTTTCATCGAGTGCCAAAAAATTAAAAAAAAAAAAATCGTTTCGATTCAGAAAACAAACAAACAAACAAAAAAAAAACGTTTCTAAGATTTGAAATTCTCTGGACAATTTTCGTTCCAGACGATGTGAACGTTATTATCATTATTACCTCGTTTGAGGAATTCCATATTTTATTCCGACTCCCACTCTCGGAAGGACTTTTATGACTTTTTTCACCGTCGCCTGATCGGAAAATGCAAACATTATGGAAGCTGCGAAACAAACAAACAAACAAACAAAAAAATTAATAATATTAATATTTCTTATCTTTTTTAAATTATCGTAATAAAAACAAACAAAACAAACGAAAAAAAAAAAAAAAACTCGTATCGTTATCGCATCGGCATCATCATCATCATCATCATTATTATTATTATTATTATTATTATTATTATTCACACTGGAACGATTCGTTTGTTTTTCTTTTTCTTCTCCAGTCGAGTCGTTTTTTTCCAGATTGTCCTTCGAATCGTTTACGCCTTTACAATTTAATTATTTCATCGACGACCGACGAAATTTCGATATCAATCAATTGATATTTATCAAAACGAACAAACAAACAAACAAACAAACGATTCCCTAAAAATATAAACCATATCAACTTTCTAACTGGAATCGGATTGTTTGATATAAAAAACATTATCATTATTATGTAAAAAAAAAAAAATTTTAAATGTTAACCGATAATAAAAATTTTAATTGCAAATTAAAAAAAAAAGTTTGTCAAAATCATACGACGACGAAGTAATAATAATAATATTGAAATGTCGTCGTCGTCGTCGACGTCATCCAACATTTTTTTTTTCGTGTGGTTTGGCAAGTTTTTAAAACCTTTGGGCGCAAAAAAAAATTTTTTTTTTTTACATGAAATTTGACGCAACGAAATTCACAGCAGGCATAGTAGAAAAGGTAAAAATGATATCACTGATAATGATAATAAATAAATAAATAAATAAATAAAAACGTGCCTTAAGGTCGGTTGTCGGTTGACTGGTTCGTCGGTCGGCCGGTTGTTTTATTTTTCATCATTTCGTACCTGAACATTATTATTCTCTTATTCATAGAGTAACATCATTTATTTAAACTTCAACCCCGGACAGCTGTTAATGTTCATCTCGTGTATTATTGAGATTTCTCTCGAGATATATCATCAACCAGAAGAGAAAAACGACGTCGACGACGACGACGACGATGACGATGACGATGACGACGACATTGTTTCTTTTTTTATACTCGATAATTCACTTTTTTTTTTTTTTTTAAAGACCCCCGATATCAGGTTTCATTTTCTTTCTCATATATATATATATATATATATATATATATATATATATATATATATAAATACATACGCATATTTCATTAAGTGAAAAAACGACTGGAGATCGAAAACAAACAAGAAACAAACAAACAAACGGCTGTAATTAAACACTTACTTCTGCTTGCCAAAAATATTTCTATGGCAACATTTTGCAATAAATATCTCCGTGAAAAAATCGCTCGTATTTCCGAGAAATACCATTTTCCGTGTAGATGATCGCAATATTTCAATACCTGAAAAAACAAAACAAACGACAAAAATATTATTATTATTATTAGTACAAAGAGAGAGAGGGGGGGAACGTCAAATCGACCGACGTTCACGTGTAAAATAATTACAAACGTATCGTTTTTTTTTTTTTATTACAATTTTCGTGTCGATACGATTGTTATTACGTCACAGGTACTCGAATATTACGTAAACAACAACCGTTTTTTTTTTTTTTTTAATGTTTGTTTTAATGTTTGTCGGGTTGTTTCTGAGAAATTATAACACGAAACAATCGAAAAGAAGAAGATTTAGAGGGGGAAAAAAAAACCTGGAGAAAAAGTCGGTAGAATTTTTATTAACAACAACAACAACAACCCCAAAAAATTCGTTGTATTAAAAATGGCCGCCGAATTAGCGGTTTTGGTAGGTGGGGCTTTTTATACCCTTCACGTCTCCCGGCAACGGATATGCGCTTGCTTGCTTTAACCTGGATAAAAAAAAAAATTCCAGAGCATGGTAATGTACTTCTTCCTTTTTTCTCCTTATTTTGTAAAAAAAATCAATAAAAACTTTTTACTTTTTTTTTTTTTCTCCAGCAAAAAAACGGAATTTACTATTTTAAACCAAACAAACAAACGCGAATAATAATAATAATAATAATAAAAACACGTTTTCTGGAGAAAAAGATGAAGATTATTATTATTTACACGACGACAAACAATTCATGAGAATAAAATTATTCATTAATTAACGTCGATATAATAAGTTCATGTTCTCCATCTTTTTTTAGTTTTCCCACTGGAACTCACTCGCTCATCCCTCATCCCTCTTTATGGAAAAATCCAAACTAATTTTATTTTCTATTTTTCGACGTCATCATTGCATTGTAATTAATAAGTGACCTTTCTTCCTTTTTCTTTTTTTTTTTAAGTAAATAACGAACGTTTTGGTGGTTCGATAGGGGTTGTTTTTATCATCCCCTTATATAATAAATAAATAATAATAATAATAAACAAATCACATAATTTGTCCATAATTTAAAAAAAAAAAAACAAAAAAATTGAAATTTGATTCGTGCTTTATCGTATTTCTTTCGTACCAGAATTTTTTTTCCTTCTTTTTCCCCTTTTCCCTCCTTCTCCTCCTCATTATCATCATCATCTTCTTCTCCTTTGTTCTTTTATTTACTTGGGTATTACAGAAGATGGAAAAGAAAAACGTGAGATATCAAATGAAAATACCAGAAACGCGTGCAAATCACCAACCGAGATAATTTTTTTTTTCACTCGCTCACTCACTCACTCTCTATCTCTCTCTCCCCCTTTTTTTCTTCTCTCTCTTCCATCATCTCTCTCTCTCTCTCTCTCTCTCTCTCTCTCTCTCTCGCTTTTTACTTCATTACGACCCCTCGTCATATTCGATTTATTTGACACTAATTTTGTTTATGATCCTTAATTTTGTTCTGGTTCTCCCTCTCCTCTCTTTCCCCCTCCCCCTCCCCCCACTTTTAAGTATGAACAATCAAATTTAGATGAGTGCAATCCATTTCGAAATGCAACATTTCGACGATAATTAAGTTTGTTTTCGTTTGTTGTTGTCTTGCTCCGGAAAGAATAAAAAAACATTTTCATATCCTTTTTTTTTTTTCTTTCTTTTTCTTTTTCCATTAGTTTCGTAGAAACCTTTCCCAAGGGGTTCGGGATCGGGGGGTGAAAGGGTGGAAGGGGGACCGGGGGAAGAGGGAAGGAAACAACATTAAAACATTTTCCAAGTGTGAAATTAATTATTTCACGGTCATACAATAAAAAATGAAAACACCTTTTATTTATCCGCGTGTTCGATATTAAAGTGTGGGAGGAATCATTTTCAGGTGACACGTTCACAACGTGACGTCACAAATAAAAAAAATTACCTTCTGACACGTTTAATTTAACAACAACAACATGAAAGGCTACAAAAAAATTAAAAAGGTTTAAATTTTCTCTTAAGTTTTTCCTTTTGAATCTTCCAGATTTACAACAACAAAACAACAACAATAATAATAATAATAGTAATAAAGAGGGCGTTTAAATATTTTTTTTTTAAATCAAAATTTAAATTGATACCTAAATAAAAAGACATCCAATTGACAGGTTCATCATCATCGTCATCATCATCATCGACGATGACGACGACGACAATAACATTTTACGACCATGACAAAAACATCATGTTTTCTTTTATCAATTACACCCTATTTAAAAAAAAAAAGAGAGAGAGAGAATAGGTAATAAAAGCACGTTTAAATAACAAAAAAGACAAAAAAAAACAACATGGCGACGACGGTTTTTTTCTTCCAAAATAATATTAAAATACGTACCTAAGTGTTTACGTGTGTGTGTGTATGAAACGAAACACAATTAACAACAATAAGAAAAACATGTTTTGTTTATTTTTCTTAATAAAAAAAAAAGGGAACCGAACCCCTACCCCTCCCTTCCCTCCCCTCCACCCCTGTGTGTGTGTGTGTGCATTGTTGAATTACATGCAATTCAATATATAATTGAAGGATTATAGCATATTATGGAACGCTCTTGACAAAAGAGGGTATCGAATTTTCTTTTTTTTTTGTTGCCCGAAAATGACGACGACGACGATGATGATGATGATGACGGTACGTGAACCGACGGTGTTTGGTACACGCACACGCACACGCACTCTCTCTCTCTCTCTGTCTCCATCGCATTATTTTCTCTTTTTCATTTTTTTTTTGCACCCTTGACGACGGACAAAATTTCGTTATTAATTATTATTTCACGGATGCCACGGGGGGTATAGGCGGCCAGGGGGCGTGAGCGGGGGGCGGGGGGGGTAAGGAAGAAGAATTTTCCTTTGATAAAAATTAGGAAAAAATTTACACGTTTGAAGAATACCTGATAACCCCGATGATAACCCGAATCGCCCACGAAAATCAGCATTGATGATGATGATGATGATGATGTTGACGTTGACGTTGACGAAGATCGCGATGATAATAATAATAATAATAATAATAATTTCTTCTTTTATTTTACTGGAGATCCAATTACTATTACGAGTATTTTAGTTGAGTTTCCGTTGATTTGTGAACGGTTTCTTTCTTTTCTTTCTTTTCTTTCCATTCTTCCGTCGCATTTTTTGTAACTTGATATTAATTCTCGTTTTATTCCTTTTGACAGACACTGACAGTAATCCTTATGACGATGATGATGATGATAGTTTTTCTTCTTTTTCTTCTTCCACGGGAGACCGATTTTCTCTTAGACAAAACATTTTTTTTTCATAACCATAACTTTTTTTTTTTAGCTTAACTTTTACAAACATGATCGTTTGTTTTTAATTTTTTTTTTTTTTTCTTGTTCATTTTTAATCATCATCATCCGTGATTTTCTTTCTTTCTTTCTTTCTTTCTCTCTCTCTCTCTCTCTCTGTCTTTTTTTTTTACAAAAAATTTTACCGAATTCGTTTTAAATTTCGAGTATGTTTTAAAATGTCGGTCGAGTTTTTTAAAAAAATTACACACGCACGCACGCACAAATAAAAATAAAAAAATTTTATCCCTTATTATGTATATATAACATACGACTAACAAATGAAATAATGATAATAATAATAATAATAATAATGAAAATTCTTTTGTAACATGTAACATTTGTGTCTGTTTGTTTGTTAAGAGTATTTTTTTTCAATTCACGGTTCAGAGATTTTTCTTTTTTCTATTGAGAAGGGAAAAAAATTTTAAACCTTTTACCTCGTGTACACACGTATTAAATTTATAAAAAAAGGAAAAAAAGGAAAGAAAAGGAAAGAAAGGAGAATCCATATTTAAAAATCAACCATTTAAAGATTATCCATCTCCCCCCACCTCCTCCTCCCTTTTTAAAGCATTTTAAAATAAAACCTTTTCCTTTTTATTTTCATTGGCAACAATTTGTTAACCTTTTTCTTCTTCCTTTTCTTCTTCTTTATTATTATTATTCAAGGTTTTTCTTTTATTTTTCGAGTACATTATTGATTTTTATTATAAAATAGGGTAACGTAAAAAGGATAAAACCGGCGACGGTAACAACTTTATTATATAAACCAACGACGAAATTTAGTCAAAAAAAAAAAAAAAAAAAATTTAGGGGGGGGGGAAATCGCAGTATTAATTATCATCATCATCAATTAATTACAAGAAGCATCGAAAGAATCTCTTTGTGTAACGAAAAAAAAAAAGATTTTTCTAAGGGATTAAAATTTTTCAAAAGATCAACCCCCCCGCCTCCACCCGCTCCCACCGATAATAATAAATCACACACAAAACAAACTTTAAAATATCAAGGGAAGTTAAAACGCGGGAAGAATACGGGGGGTTTTAAAGATTGCACACAGATTGGAAGGCAAAAAAAAAAAAAAGGTTGACAGTCGTTCGTGAATCCCCGCCGCCCCCCTCACGCCGAAACCGTCTCCCTCCTCTCTACCTCCCCACTTTAGGCGCCTGACAAAAAAAAAAAATTTTTTATCAATGAATTTTTTTTTACCTTTATTTGTGACCTTTTTTCCTTTCATTCAAAATTTTTAACTGGAACATCAATTTTTTCCTTTTTTTTTTTTTTTTTTTTTTTTGAGGAGCTTAATTTTCGAAAATGAGGAGAGAAAAAAAGGTTCTGGATATAATTTTAACTAATTAGAAAAAAAAAAGAAATTCGATGCCTCGGATTTAACAAAAAAAAATTAGAAGAAGAAAGGAAGGAAAGAAGGATTTTTTCAACTTTTTGTTTCTCCCGTTTGCCATCCAAATTAATCCCTTACGTCGAAGGGGTCGATTTGTAATTTTGTTACAACCAGACGAAATCTGACGATGGTTGTTGTTTGTTGTTGTTTTTGTTTTGTTCTTCGCTCCGTTCAAAATTTCAATGTTTTAACAATTTACTCTCGATGAGTAAAAGCTTCGGGTTCTCGCGTATTTTTTTTTTTTTAAACCTTTTAACCTTTCCCACAAATTTTATCATTAAAACCTTATCGATCAATTTCCCTCCGCTCCCCCGGTGTGATAATAACGAACTATCGGGGTCAAAGAACTTTAAAAAAATTTTTTTTTTAAATATTCGAAAGCAAATAAAACGAGAGTTGACAACGAATAAAAAAAAAAAAAATTCTCTAGAGCTACCAACAACAATCATACACTTAAACGCACAAACGCACATTCGTACACACGCATACGCACACGCACAGACAAACAATAAGGAGACATTTTCCTTTTTTTTATTAGTAATCGTAAGAGAGAGAGAGAGAGAGAGAGAGAGACGATTACAACAAATGTCAATCCGTGACATTCATGAAACTAAATTTACAACTTAATATAAAAAAAAAGTAATAATGATAATAATAATAATATTTACCTTACCATAATGTTAATTACACTTGTTTTGTTAAATCAAAATATCCATTTATAATAATACTGATAATGATAATGATAATAAAAGTAAAAAACAAAATTACGACTCGATATAAAATACCAAAAAGAAAGAGAGAGAGAGAGAGAAAATTATTTAAACGTTGGAATTTTGTTACTTATAAAAATACCAAAGCCTATTTAAACGATGATGATGATGATGATAATGATGATAATGATGATTTTTTGTTTTATTGTTTTTAAAAAATCTTTAAATAAATGCTTTCACATTTTTTTTTTTTTTTTTTTTTTTTTTTTTGTGATAGTAATCGAGTGATGAAATATTTGAATTTAGTTCAACAACGTGAGTTTCGAATAGTAAAATTTTTTGGTTGTTGGTTGTTGTTTGTTGTTTTTATTTTATTTTATTTTTTATTCTTGAAAAAAAAAGGCGACCGAAAGGTGAACGTCAGATAGTATCTAACAAAATTTATAATCTGAACCGGTTCGATGTCACGTGGAATTTTAACAAGGAACAACATAAAAAACAAAGAACAAACGACGACAACACACACACACACACCATTTAGGTACCTTCTTTCTTTTTTATAACGTATTTTACAAGTACCAACATAATTTTTAATGACTTTTTATTTGACTATATCTTTTGAGATTTTAAAAATAAATAAATAAATGATTAGACGCGTTGTACGTTGGAATTCCTTCCTCCCCCTCCCCCCCCCCGAAAGAAAAAATCTTTTCGAAATACAATGACGACGATGATAATAATATTATTAAGAAAAAAATAAAAATCGAAAAACGAAAAACGAAACAAAAAGAAAAAATAGAAAAAAAAAGGGAAACGAATAAAATGCACACGAGCTGAATTCAAAAATAATTTTAACCGGAAGAGGAGGAGTCCGTCAATGCCGGATACTATTTTTTTTTTTTTTTCCTCATCTATTATACTAATATACTTGTATAACGTTATTTTTGTATAAATAAAAAAATTCCGCGTTCTCATTGGTCAAACGTTTAAATCAATGAAGAAATGGGCGGAGCAAACGTTTCGAATGCAATAAGGGTTCAAATGGTTAGGGATTTCCCATTCGCGTAGATTTTTATTACATGAAACAAAAATTCGAATTAAATTTCCCTCAAAACTCGAAACCGTTCATGTTCTCAAGCCGACTCGGGGTTGTAGTTTTTTTAACTCAATTTCCGGTACAAATGAAATTGGTAACAGTGTTAAATTTTTATAATTATCGACGAAAAAACTCGAAAGGATGGAGAAAACAAAGAAAATTTCACGATTTTAAGTTTTAAATATTTAAAAATCGAGCCAATGACGGGAAGCAAAATAATATTCCAGCAGTCACAAAATAAAACTTTGGAAAAACCTTTTAAGGTTCAAAAAAAAACCTTCTGCTGACATCTTTTAATCGCATTATTGTAACAAAAAAAAAAAATTTTACTAAATCCAACGAAAAAGTAAAATTTCCTCAAAGTAAATACGCTACATCGATCATTGCTTAAAACATGGTAAAATTCGAGAAGCAGACGACAAATAATTTAAAAACGTATTTCTTTTCTTTATCTTTATCACCGCTATACTAAACGAAATTAAAACCTTTAAAATTTTTTCAATATCCTCTTTCAAAATTTTTCGAACGAAAATTTTCTTATCAATCCTAATCGTTTTCACATTTATATTCGTGTGAATAAAAGCGTGTAAAGAATTTTCTTATCAGTAAAACTAAGTAACTCTATTAGTTTATCAATATTTAAAATATTAATTTTTATTACTTGTTCGAAACAAGACCGGATGTGAAGTGATAAAAAAAAAAAAAAAATGGAAAAACCACTTAAAAGACAACCCCGTAAAATTTTATTTTTATTTAAAAAAAAAAAAAAAATCACATTATCATAATAAATAAATTAATTATTAATAAAAATAAATTTTTTTTTTAGTAAATGCAAGATAACAACAACAGCATCCTTTCGGGTATCGTTTGTTTGTTTGTTTGTCTTTTAAATACGTTTTATCCTCGTAGAAAATTCCAGTAACCGCCCGGTTTCTGTTGTTGTTGGGGATCGCAAAATTATTAAGAAAAATTAACGAAATTTAAAAAAAAATCAATCTTATCACCTCCGCCATATTGCCCTTAAATAATAATAATAATAATAATTAAGAAAATTTGGAGATATAACTCTTTGAACGCTCGCATACCTGAGTAAAAATATTTGACAGTTGATATAAATTAAAGGTAAACTTTGAGAGGGACTTGTCATGTAAAATTTACAAATAAGGTGTGGCCGAGAAATGTAAAAAAACCATGACGGCACAATAGATAAACATTCGAAACTCAATTCTTTTTAACGAAATTATCAAAATGTTTAAAACGACGTAAAATGACCTTCTGACGCGGCAATTTACCAATTCCCCTTATATTCATCTTACGTTTCATAAAATTTTCAAATGAAAACTTTAAGTTTTCCCTTGAATTATTTTTTCTAAAAAAAAAAAAACTAAAATCCCTTAGTTTGTTTTTGTTTGTTGTGAAGTGTTGCACACATTAAAAAAAAAAAAAAACTTCTAGAAATTTCTCTCTCTCTTTTTAATTATATTATTATAATAATACGCATAACGTTAATAATAATAATAATAATAATAATAATAATAATAATAAAACAAATTATTAAATGGTTAATTTATCGGTAAATAAATAAATTAAAAAACAAACAAAGAAAATTTTTTTTAATGTGTGTGTGTTTGTTTGCGTTTGCGTTTTTTTTTGTTGTATGATTAAAAACCGTTCGGCGAACGTATTTTTTTTTTTTTTATTAATCTTTTAACGTATTAAATTTGTTTTTTTTTTTGTCTGAACCGTTCGATTAATGGAATACGTTTTTTGTGCGTTTATGTACGAATATTATAGGGAATATGAGCATCGTAAATATCAATTATATTTTTACTAATTATTATTATTTTTTCCTTTTAACCTTTTGAACTTTTTAAAATTTAAAATTAAAAAAAAAAATCGATACGAAAGAATATTCTCGAAAGCGTCGTTAATCGATATAATATTTTTACCGGCAGAAGAAAAAAAAAATCGATCGAGATAATTTAACAAATTGCGCATATCCTGGACCTTTCACGTTTTTTCGCATTTTTTCGCATTTTTCCCTTTAAATTAATTTTTTTCTTTTTTTTCGTGTGTTGGCACACTCGATCCCTTCTAGAAAAGTGTTTAAAAAAAAAAAAGTGCAAACTAAAATCGGGTTTTGCTAAAAAAAGAGAAAAATCGACGCTTTAAAAAAAAAAACGAATATGCATAAGTTTAGTAAAATAACGACCGGCACAAACGATTAAAAATTATTTTTTTTGTGGACAGCCGACGGACGATAACAAACAAACAAACGAGCAAACAAAGAAATAACAATCGACAACATACACGAGACTATTTATTTTTATTAATAATAAAAAAATTTAAACGATCGATCGACAAAATTTGTTTTAATAAATTTACCATCATCATTATTATCATTATTATTAATGTTTTTTTAAAAATAATAATAATAATAAATAAGAAATATATATGTATATTTTACCGCGTTGATGATAGTGATAATGATAATAATAATAATAATAATAATAATAAGGTTTCATCGCCTCCGTGAAAAAGCTTTCGATAAAAAAAAAAAATTTAGGCTCGATTTTTTTTTATTATTTCTTTCAACTTATGAAATAAATTATTATTTTTAACCGTCGTCAAGTTGGCAATAGTTTTTTTTTTATTGTGCAAAATTGGCACGCTTGAAAAACAAATGATAATTTCAAAAAAAAATTATTTAAATAAAAAATGTGCATAAAAATTAGTAGAAAAGTTAAACGAAAGTTTTCTTTTTTTAGTTGTTTAAACACAAAGCCAATAAAATTTAAATAATAATAATAATGATAATGATAATGTTGATGATGATAATAATAATGATAGTTTTTTTTTTAAACGTCGTTTGTGCTGGATCGGTAACAATCCGTGTAAATATTTTTAAAATTTACATTTAAAAAAAAAAAAATAAAAAAAAAATTTTTTTAGCAGGAGTCAACAGAAGTTCCAGAAATAGAATTGAATATGTTGGTGCCGCCTGAAATGATGGCAGCTCAATCTAAAATGTTATATCAGTTAAACAAGTATCACGGTGAAAGAGTGCAAGCGAGAAAAGCTCAAGTTGCTAAGACGATACGCGAAGTGTGCAAAGTGGTGCAAGACGTTTTGAAAGAAGTCGAAGTGCAAGAACCACGTTTTATAAGTTCACTCACGGAATGCAACGGAAGGTACGAGGGTTTGGATGTGATCTCACCGGGTGAATTCGAAGTCGTCCTATACCTGAATCAAATGGGCGTTTTCAATTTCGTCGACGACGGAACCCTGCCCGGATGCGCTGTTTTAAAACTAAGCGACGGCAGAAAGAGATCCATGTCCCTTTGGGTCGAATTCATAACGGCATCCGGGTATTTAAGCGCTCGTAAAATCAGATCCCGATTTCAAACGTTGGTAGCTCAAGCCTGTGATAAATGCGCGTATAGAGACTCCGTTAAAATGATCGCGGACACGACGGAAGTGAAATTGAGAATACGGGAAAGATACGTTGTGCAAATAACGCCCGCATTCAAGTGTTCGGGAGTTTGGCCGAGATCCGCGACTCATTGGCCCATACCTCACATACCCTGGCCTCATCCGAACCTCGTGGCCGAAGTCAAAACGAACGGTTTCGATTTGCTATCGAAGGAAAGCGTCGCGCTCCAAGGGAAACAATCCGCGATGGAAGGTGACGCGTGGGTTTTGAGTTTCACAGAAGCCGAACAATCTCTCCTGTTGGGAGGATGTCGGCGAAGGTGTTTGAGCATATTGAAAACCCTTCGTGACCGACACTTGGACCTACCCGGTAATCCCGTCACGAGTTATCACATGAAAACCCTTCTCCTGTACGAATGCGAAAAACATCCGAGAGAAATGGAATGGGACGAACCCTGTCTCGGCGACAGGATCAACGGGATACTCCTTCAACTTATATCGTGTCTACAGTGTCGACGGTGCCCGCACTACTTCCTTCCAAATTTAGATTTGTTCAAAGGTAAATCGCCGAGCGCATTAGAAAACGCGGCCAAACAAGTATGGCGACTAACGAGAGAACTATTAACAAATTCTAGATCTTTAGAAAAATTATAAAAAAAAAAAACGAAAAAAACCCGCGTTATTAATAATAATAATAATAATACTATTAAATCAATACGTACGTACATAATTATTAATTAATAATGTGTAAAATAATAAATATAGGCGAATAATTTATAATGCCGGACGCTAGTCAATAAATAAATAAATAAATAAATCGCAATAAATAAATAAAATATGTACATAAAAAAAATATACATAAATACATACATACATAAATAATATAAATAAATAATTTTATATATTTATCTTATTTGTTTGTTTTCTGTTTTTTTTTTTTTTTTCGAGCTTTAAATAAATGTTTGAATGTTAGCCGATGATTATTATTTTAATTATTATTATTATCATTATTAAATACCCTTTGACCTCTCACCCAACTTTTTACAATTATCATTATTATTATTATTATTAAATAAAATTTTACAAAGTAAATTTACGAACGGAAGCGAGACGTTTTTTTTTCTCAATCACGCGACTTTTTCAATTCAATTCAATTATTATTATTATTAGAAATTATTTTGGAAAAAATAAAAAATTATTAAATAATAATAATAATAAATTTTTGTGTTGCGTAACGCGAGAAGCGATTGAAAATAAAAATAAAAAAAAATTATTTACATAATTTATTCATTTTTTATTTTTTATATGATTCGGACTCCACCTATGTAAATCGTTTTGCTACCATTTCGTTTGTTGGTATACCAACAAACGTCGTCGTCATAGGTGATAACGCCCTTTTTTCTCTATCGTTTCCGGTCGTTCGATATATAAATTCGATACGAGTCGTCGTCGTCGTCGTCGTCATAATCGAATATCTCGTAGTTATTGCGAAAAAAAGAAAAAAAATTTTTTTCATTACGCACCTGCCGCGAGAGAGTTTAACATATCATCGATCGTACAATAATAATTACCCGTTGAAAAAAATTTGATAGACAAACAAGACAACAAACGGATGTACAAACGGAAAAATTCACTCTCGAAAATACCAACAAAAAAAAAAATTAAAAAAAATTAAAAAAAAAAATTAATTACACCTTTTCTTCATTTTCTTCTTCATTTTTTTTTTGTTTTTTTTTTCGAATTATTATCATTATTATTATTATTATTTTTAACCAGGTGGTTTAATTGTGGGCGTTTACAGGCATACCAACCGTTGTTTGTAATGCTTCATGTACACACAAAAAAAAAAAAAAAATGGAAATTTTTTAAACTTAAAAATTTTTTTTATTAAATTTCGGTCGTACACACAAAACCGCCTTCGAATTTTTTTCTAGAAAAAGAAAGAAAAATCTCACGATTCTTTTGCATATATTTTTTGTTTGTTTCACCTGACACGTTTTTTTTTACCCATTAAAAAATTATTATTCTGAAACCACGTAATTAAAAAACAACAACAAAAACAACCATAAAAAAAAAGAAAAAAATTTTGTGTTTTACGCCCAATTTCACTATTTCAGCAAACACGAAATTTTTTATATTTAAATTTAAAAAACAACCCAACGTACACAAACAAACAAACAAAAATTTTTCAATAAGTAAATAAATATTAATAATAATAATAATGATAATAATAATGATAATAATAATGATAATAATAATGATAATAATAATAATAATAATACAAATTACAGTCTTTTAACGTCAGTTTGTGTAAAATATCCGTGAGTTATTATGATGATGATCGATCATCATCTTGTGCGTGCGTGCGTGCGTTTGTACGTGTGTGTGTGTGCATACGAACGCAACAACCACAACCAGAACAACTACAACAAAAAATTTTTTTTTTCGTGACATCGGTCACGAATTTTATTTTAATAACGTTCAAAAAAAAAAACAGAAACAAATCCATCGATTCGTCTTCTCGTACTTTCGATATGTACGTCCTCCTATTAAACAAACGCTAAGCAAACGCTAAACAAACGCCAAACAAACGATTACATAATTTTCTTTCTCTTTGTGTCACGACGATTGTATAACAAAAAAAATCTCCTCATCACAAATTATACAAGTCGCCTCAAACCATTTTCAAAAAAAGTTTTCGCAAAAATAATATTAATATTAATATTAATAATAATAATAATAATAATAATAATAATAATAATAATAATAATAATAATAATAATAATAATGATTTAAACGATTCGAAACTCGCACGCACGCACGCACGCGAGCACACACACAGGATTCGATTAAAAAAATTTCCCGGTTATAAAAGAAAAAAAATTAACAATTTTTCCTATTAATTCAATAAAAAAAAAAAATATTTTCCCTCCATTTTTCTTTTCTTTTCTTTTTCTACTTCCACGTCATTTTAACAATTATAACGATCATTAATTAATAATCCACGGCGTAAATAAGCAAAACTAAGACAGAGAAAACAACACAACACAATGTAATAAATAGTTTTCGTTGTTGTTATTGTTGCGATTATTAATAATAAATAATAAATAAATAAATAAATTATTTATTAATGTTATATATGTATACAAACGAGCCGTTAACAACCCGTAATATTTTATTTATTTATTTATTTAAAAAAAACGAGATAAACGGTCGCGCGCGCTTTTATTATTTCCCGCGCATTTATATATATAAAAAAAAAATATTTTTTGATTTATTATCAATCGAACGTTATTTATTTATGACTTTCCAATACACATAAATAAATAAATAAAAAAGTGAAAGTAATAATAATAATAATAATAATAATAATAATAATAATAATAATAATAATAATAATAATAATAATAATAATAATAATAACGTTTTTACATGTAAAAACCGTTTGAAGATCACGAAAGAACGTTCGGTGACGGCGGTTCGTTTAAGAAAATGAATGAAAAAAAAAAAAAAAACGATGGATTTTTTACAAAAAAAAAAAAAATTAGTATATCGTTTTAAAAATCCCTCCCCTTTTCCTCCTCCTTCCTCCCTCGATATCCCTGGGGATTTCATCAAAGACAAAACAAAAACGAAAAAAAAAAATTCCCGTTCGCAGGTGGGAAAAATGTTTTACCCCCAAAAACCATAAAATCCACTTTAAACCAAATGAATAATTAAAGAAACCTTTTCAAGACGTTCTCCCATAATAATAATTTTTTCCCTTCTTCTTCTTATTATTATTATTATTATTGAAACACTCAAAAAACATGTTGTCATGTCACGCGGGGGTCAACACAAACATAATTCCAATCGTCACATTATTATCATCATCATCATCATCATTTCGAACAATTTATAAAAACCCGCGTTGTCCTGCGGGTTTGGGAATAAGAAATTCGGCATTTCCGGTCCCCGTTTTAACGCTATTCTCCCATTATTATTATTATTATTATTACGACGGAGATGAACTCACGCAAATGGAAACTTTCAAACAAAAAGAAGTTAACTAAAATATCTAAAAGAAGAAGAAGAAGAGAAAAAGTTTTTAATCCATTATTCTTTTTAAGTGTTTTACTCTTATACTACTCTCAACCGTTCAATTCTGGCTAACATCAATTTATCCCTTTTTTTTTTGTCGTTTTATCCGACACTTTTATATATATTGATAATGCTACCGACGACGATGACGACGACGACGACGACGTCGTTTAACGCTTTAAAAACATTTATTATTATTATTATTATTATCGCTACTACTAATACCACGACCGTCATTCATTACTTAAACACACTTAAAGTTTTCCACTTTTCTGTCGTTTTAATTTAAAAAATTACGACGTTGGTAAATAAATATTTTAAATAATATATTTAATTACTCGAAAATAATTACGTAATAATGATGATAATGATAATGATGATGATGATGATAATGAAGATAACAAAAATATTTAAAGGAAACAAAATGAAATTCGCGTTTCGCGAGTGGGAAAGAGAGAGAAAAAAAATTCCAATCGTGACATAATCGTGACGAATAAATGTTAAAATCACGCACACGCACACGCACACACCCCCTCCCCCTAGAAAAAAAAATTATTTGAATTTACCGGGAGAGAAAAGAAAAATTTTCATTTTCTCATCCTAATCTCATCTCATCTAACATTTTTCTTTTTTTCCTTTTTTCCTTTTCTTCCCCTTTTCATTTTTTTTTTCCTTTTTTTTTCAACGCGTAAAATTTTCCCTTTAAATATTTAATAATAATAATAATAATAATAATAATAATGATTGTCAACAACGTGTTATACTTTTATAATCATCGCCGTGTAACTTTTCCGCGTTTTTTTTTTTTTTGTAACGAACGAACAATTATTATTAGTGTGGCACACTAACAGTTATTTTAAACGTTAAAAGAAAAAGAAAAAGAAAAAAAGAGAAAACGTCAATTATCGACGACGTCGTCCATTATTCAAAACTGCAAAAAAAAAAAATTTAACGTTGAGAGAACGAAAAAAAAAAAAAAAAAATGAAAAGTAATAATTTAAATTCATCCGGTTCAGTATTGTGAATAAATATATACATATATGACTAAATTATACCTGAGGTATTTTTTTTTTTTTTAATTTACGACTCGGCGGAGAGAGAGAGAGAGGGGGGGCAGGCGGCGGTTGAGTGAGAGAGAGAAGAAAAACAAATAAATAAATGATGGTAATCACACGATGATGATGATGATGATGATGATGATGATACGAATCGATAAAATAAATATTTACAAGATGACAAAATTTTCAAATGAGAAAAACTTTTTTTATGCAAAATAATAAAATAGTATGAAAAGTTGACAAACCTTTACAAGTATGAGAGAGAGACAATCTTCTTTTTCGTATTAAACAATAAAAAAATTTCATTTCCTTGAAATTGAGAAAATGATGATGATGATACTGGTGGTGGTAGTGGTAGCGAAGAAAGAGAGAGAGAGAGAAAAAGTCGTAAAAACAGTTGTCGATGGGATAATAAAAACAACGACGATGATGATGACGACACCACCACCACCACCGACACCGCAACCTCAATCACCGCCAACAACAACAATTACGACAAACAAACAAACAAACAAG